GTTCCTAGCTCCCGCTCGGATAACGGACATAACCGCTACATCTTGCATCCCGCACAGTAGCCTGTCTCTCATCCAGAGTTATTGAACATCGACGTCAGTCTTTCACTCACCAGTCCTCATCAGAAGTGACGTAAGCACTACGCAATGAAGACCCATGGGGACTGAAAGTAAACACCCACGCTCCCCTAACCTCAACACCAGACTGAGGTAAGCGGTTACCTTTACTCTCTGGCCGCCTTGTCCCCCAGTACCAGTCAGATCCATTGCTGTGAGAGCCCCAAAGCCGGTCTGGACGCGGTGGCGAAGAGCAAAATTCTGCCTAAGCCAGAAATCAAAGCCTTCTATCACATTCCTTCATAATCATATTCTTGCACCAACACTTAGGTCTCTTAATAATCTTCCCTTCGCATTTACTGACCAGGATTTTGTATACATCTCTCATATCCTCCATGCATATTAGATGCCACGCCCCTCTCATTATCCTTAATATGATAATAGCACTGAATAAACACTTCTGCAAATTATGCAGATCATGTAATGCACTTTTATCCAACCTCCTGTTATTTCCTACCTCGTGGGTACAAATTCTTCCTTAACATTCTGTTCTCAAACTATTTACAGTATGAATTATTAATTTTGGCGTGTGACTTCCATGGGACTATTGCAAAAATAGAACTATGAGCTAAGACAGTATAAAGTAGATAATCCCAAGTCTCAGTGAGTAACCACAGACATTTGTACTACTGTAATAATAATAATCATTGTGAAAATGGTGAATAGATGGAACAATAATAACACTAATACTACTGCTTCTTATACTTCTCTCACACCATGCTATGGGATATCTGTCCACGATGCAAGGCGAAACGCTTTAATATAATTATCATAATTAGACCAATTATTATCGTCAAAAGGACTCTCGTATCACATACAAAATATTCTTCACGGAAAACCACACAAGGTGAATGTTAATGGAGTCGAAAGAAGAGATTCTAGACTATTCTATACCACTACCCCGGCTGGTTTCATGCATAGAACTATGATAACGTCGCGATTTAAAGTTCCCTGGCAGCTACTGCATATGACGTAGCAAGCCTCAGCTCAGGAAAAATTACCTGTGTCGACGTCTTTTCATTACTCCAAAAGTCGAAGCGTGCGTTCGCAAGGTTGCAGCAGTCAAAGTGCATACCAGTATGTCTAGTGGCGTAAAAAATCGTCGGCGATCGCAAATAAAAAAAATACGATTGGCAAAGAGCCTGGCAAACACGTGGCTGTTGGCCAATGCTGTTTCGAGCCGGATAGCGGCGAGCGTTGATTCGAGAGATCGTTAAATCGGTCGATACTGAAAGAGGTCGGGCAGAATAACCGGTCTCCGGGACGAGTGTCGAACCAGGAACTTCCTTCATACAAACCAGAAGTACTAACCACTCAACAGCGACGTCCGGTTAACAAAAAACATACGAAACATCCTAACATTCTATGAATAACAAACTGCATGAGTGATCGTCAAAGAATACGAGCAAATAGTTTCGTGTTCTCTTTCCCCCATCTCGTGCAGAGGTTAATAACATGTGGATCGTCTGTACTCCACCCCTGAATAACTTTACCCACGGAGGTCTCTTGGAGAAGATGATAATGGACATTCTTAACGGTTCGCCTTTACCAAACCACTTATCTTTCAAGGCTCTGAAAGACTGTCATACTTTCAGAACAAAGGGAACAAAATAACATTCTTCTTGGTGAAAGATTTTAGCCAAAATATTATATTATTTTGGTTAAAGGGTACGGAAATTCTACTACATTATCTTAGTATAAGGGCAAGAAAATTCTACAGTTTCCAAAACATCTTCAGTCACTAAATTTTGCTTTCTTGGAACAATAGAAGATCCCTTGTTTGTGAAGGAGAGAAGATATCCTATAGTGTATTCGTATATCTCTCATTTCCTTTTCTCAGAAGCAATGATCCTTAAGAACACTCAACATCAATGGACAAATCTCTTCAACAAATCAGAAACGATAGCATAGCAGACATCCGTGGCCCAGTGTAAATCCCAGGACAGTCCGTTTCGAATTTAAATGCTGCCGAAAGCGTCCGTTTCAGCCAACTTTTCAAAAATGAAGTATATTGAAATAATGAGTCATTATTTGTGGTAACCTTATTAATATGTTTGAGATATGAGGAACTCACGGCAGTGAAGATGTCGATGTTGTTCTTCTGGGTTGTAGTACAGTGTGGACTTGTAAGTGGATAGCAACGATTCCTAGAAACATACTACCTCCGCCTTCAGGGCTGAAACTCTGAACCAGAGCTCTTTACAGGCAACGAAAGCCAAAGTGCTGCTTGCTCATAACGTTAACGGCATCGCCAGGTCTGAAAAAAAACACTTGACACGATGGCAAATCGCAACCCGACTTAAAACAGCTATGTTACTTTTGCGCCACTTTGTACTTCATACTGAATAGTTTCTTTAAAGTCGTTTCTCGTAAAATTTGCTACAGGCCTCTCACAGTTTCGGTACCTGGTTCGAGCTTCATCTAAGACCTGACACATGGTGCGATTCACTATAAGGAAGTTTAGTCTGGCAGATAACATTTTATAACTTTCGTATGCCATCTTCCATTAAATACGCGTATGAAGTCATCTTGTCAACTGCATTCATCCTCAGTCGTGCTTTGCAGTCACAGATATTTATTCTTTATTCTATTTAACGCACTGGATTGCGGTTTCTAAACGTTTATTTCAAGAGCCGGCAAGCGCTAATCGGTCTAGTGCCAATAAAATGTTGCCACGAATCTTAAATCCTAAACACGTGCTGCAAATTTATTTTTCTGGGCGCCAATAAGAGCGCAAACGCTGTTTACAGCATACACATGCATAGTTTACTTAAATTATTCATCATTTACACAAACCTATATCTATCTGAAAATTTTCTTTTAAACTGCATGCGCCTAAATGAACGTGGAACGACACCAAATCAGGAACGAAGTCCCCGAGAATGTTTTAAGCGTAAGTATGTGAAAGAAAGAAATTTAATACAAGTAACAGGATTATCATTACCCTGTCAACTTTTCAAAAATCTACAAATCTGAACAAAAATTATATCATCAGTTATTTTCTGACATGTGAGCTCTTACTTTTAAGATAATCACGTAAATTACACGAATATAGGACAAAGTACTCAGAAAAATATTTTGATCTAAAAAAGAACGAAGATTAAGTGAGCAACACATGACATTGCATAACGATAACAGTGAATTTTGCAGTTTAGCTATTGTTATGAGGAAAGAGGGCGCACTCGGCCTGTGGCCTGGAAGGTGGAGACAAGATATAAATACAGAATTTTGATGAGAAAACCTCTTCGGAGACGTCGACTTTGAAGAATGAGACGGACATAACAGAATAATATATAGATCTGAAGGAGATGGGTGGTGAAGATGACAAGTAGATGAAATAGCTCAGGGTCATCTCAAATTGCGGGCTCGGCGTTCTATAGTTGCGTTGAGCTTTCGGGTTCTTCTACCACCACCTGACGCACATGGTACAGCAGAAAACTGCTGAGAGCTAACAGATGTGATCTAACGGAAGTCTGTAGGCTACTCACCTCCAGTTCCCAGTACTTTGAGGAGCTCGAAGTTGGACATGTCAACTCGGCCTATACCAGTCAGGTTCACTGTAACAAGACCAAGACATCAGGATTACAGACGAGACCGGAAAAAAACATTCAACTAAAATAACGCACGAAATATACATTGTAATTAGCTAAGCACACGGCTTGTTTATCACAATCAAAGTGACATAACACACCTTCCATATAAATACCTCAATATATCGTCACATACATGTATCAATGGAACATGAGCCAGTTTAAGAGACTTGATGCCATAAAAATTACTCTCTTCAGCGATGTTGCGCCGTGCAAGGCGATGGAGGCAGTAGGTACCTCTGAAACGTCAGTCAAATTTACAACACCACACGACGCAACATCCCAGAAGACAGTAATCTTCATACTCGCCACTGTGAGAACCTGAAATCTCACCCAAGAATGGATTGTTGATCACTTTATACAATTTCCAAAAATAAAACGGGAATATCATACAGAAGATTTTATGGTCTACAACTTGTGGACAAAATGCTGAATGAAGTGTTACATTTTGTTGGAAAACCTTAATTTCTCCCTATACTACACACTAACTCTTGACAGAAAATAATCAATAAAATCATATCTAGGTGTGTACGGATCGGTTATCCAGAATTATAGCTCCGACATGAAAAACATATGTTGGTTCTGACAGGTACGTAATTTCCAGATATGTAGCTGGTCTTGTTCGCATATGGTCTTCATTAGGACGCTGAAACACCGCCTCACCCCATCGTTAACAGGTTTCAGGACGTTGAAGAGGATATTTAGATGTGAGAGAGAGAAAGTAGTGCAACTGAGAAACCACAGGGTGACTGCCTTCTTATTCTTAATTGTGCTTCTCGCCGATCATCATCAGAGTTAAATTTCTGGCGAGTATGAATATTGCTGTCTTCTGGGATGTTTCGTCATGAAGTGTGGCAGTTTATCAACGTTTAAGACGTACTTAATCTCCATTATCAGGGCGATGAAGATGAAAGCAGTAAGCAGTAACGTCGGCAAACGTCTACCACACTACAGGGCGCAACTTCCCAGAAGACATCATCACCAGGGTGATCAAATAAATATGGAAAAGATGTGCGGAACACATAATTCACAGGAAGTCGTGAAATGCTTACGGAATTTTAGTCGGAAAACCTGAAGGGCAGAAATTGTTTCGGAGGCCTCTGGCGTAGATGAAAGATGTGAGGACACGAACAAATTTATTGAACTGGGAATACGGCCCAGTGTCAAACTCTTGTAAACACGGTAATAAATCAACGAGTTCAATAAAAAGGGTGGAGAATTTCTTGACGAGTTGAGCAAATATCAGCCTCTACAGAAGGATTGTGTTGGAGTTATTTAATGTCTACTCCCCTTAAATATTAAACGTGTGAAAGGAAATCACAATTTCTTAATGTGACAAAAATGTTAAAAAGTAGGATACAAAAACAAATGAAAAATATTAAAACAAATTATCGATATGTTGATTAAAATACGGCAGTGAAAAAGTGAAAGCAATTTCCTACGATCAGTAAGAATAAACTGGCTTGATATATTGACAAATGACAGTCCTTGTGCAATATCGCCCAAGCTAATCGACCGTAGAGCTGAGAAATGTGCTGATGAAAGGAAGACAAACTACCCACGCCTAATGCTCGGTCAAATAAATTACACAAACGGCATATTTTCCTTTAAAACATACTGTTACAGGTGGAGAAAACGTTTTGAAATCTTAAAGAAACACAGAAGCATTACAAAGAAACGGAGCATAACATTTTAAGATTGTCGTGATACTGACAGCTATACAAACAACATGTGAACTCAAAATGTCGGAGCAGAATGCAGAACCTCATTAATATAACGTTCTACGAAGCAACAGCATCTAAATTATTTCAGCGTCCGAGCAGTAAAATTGCTTCTAACCCCATTTTTAACATAACATGACGTGGTAAAACAGACACTGTAATAAGTCATTAAAAACACAAATGCACATAAACAGCTTTAACAGCTCGCGATCATTGCAAGTGATTATCGTGTTTTGCATGAGGAATCTGCAGTTTTGATTACCCCATCCTTTCACTGTCCGAACCGCGTTTCATTCCAAGGGCTTCAACAATCAAAGCGAATGACCGTCACTAACTCCTTTCGCCTTAATCGTCTAGAATTTTGTAAATTAATATCATAAACCTGAGACAAACGGTCAGAAGAAACACCATTCCTCCTAACAACATTACTACTGAAATCCCTTAAATCTACACATGCAGACTGTGTTTGTAATAAAATGGTAATAAATTACTTATCCTAAAATATCCCCAAAATAATAGATTCTGACGGCTACACGCAAAGTTATGAACGTAACATTAGCTGGTATATAATTACCACTAACCTATAAACGGTTAAATACGTGAAAAGTTTTTAAATTCCTTGTATCGGCTTGTCATTATTTTGGATTCCTTCGAGCAAATTTTCTAAACAACCATACCCAACGGTTCCAAAATTAATAATCTCAAAATTGAGTTTTGTTTTAAGTATGACACTCCAAACAAAAATCCGGAACTGTAGAGCAAAAATAAAGCTCTGCTCGAGTTCTTTAATCCAAGGGCATATCCAATGTACCGCTGTTTTGATGTCTACAACACGTAAAGAGAACCCTATCTAAAGCCCGGCCCCAAAGACCATAGCGAGGTAACACCACAACGCGTCACGTCTCACCACTCTTGCATAAAATTTGAGAGTTGGTACGGTCCGTCCCTGGGGCGTAGATTTGTTGATATTCCAGAGTTTTTGTGCCACTCAATAAACATAACCGCGTGCAAAAAGAACAAAGAATATCGTCACGATATTGTCCTAAAACAATCGCTCTGGTTTTTAAGAGAAAGTAAATAAATGCGACAGGGTTCGACAGATTTCTATCAAAAACATAACCCCTAATTTTCGCACTGTCGCCATGTTGGAACTAAATAAACTTCTATAAAATTCCTTGACTCAACACAAAAGAACGATGAATCATGTAATTAAATTACACGTGATGCTTGTACACGTGTTCGTGTGTATCGACTGGCAGCGGTGTTTCTTCAAGTAGAGTCCAAACGTCATAAATCAGACTGAAAGGGCGTTGTGCACTCTGCCCGACCACCTGTTACATCCCACCCAAAGGGAACTTGTTGACATCCGCAGCCTCAGCGGCTTGTAGGCTACATGAAACCGTGTTAGTGAGCACTCATGTACGTATCTTCAAAAGTGCCAATTTTGATTCCGCAGAATGTAAGTAAAAATATAATAAAAGCGATCTGATATTTAAAAGTCTTTGCATGGCATGCCTTATTTTCAGCATGAACATCCTGAATTTTAATTTATTCGGAGCAAATTTAAACAAATTTTCTAATTCTATCAAAATCAATTTTTTCCGTTAAGCCTGAAACTACTTTCGCACCGCATCTTTACATAACAGATGTTCGTCTCAGACGTAATTTTATACATGCCAATTCTTCGGCTGTCTCAGACATGCCGATCGAAATGCGCCTTTACCTCAAAACGTGTTACAATCCACGACCACTCCACTCGTTCGCCTTTCTTTGTATCTTTCCATCTATTCGTAGTCTTTCTTGTGCTTTATACAACTTAATCGTCATTCTTCCGTAAATTTCACTAGTTATCATCGCATCGTTAGATCACAGTCGGATCACACACTTGTTCTTCTTTGGTGCTGCCTACAGTATCATCAATGGGACAGCCATGTCACAAGAAATTTCACAGAAAAAGCACAACTCAAAACGAGAACGGTAATTAGTTTATCTATCATCTTCCTCAGTGCTACCCACACAATTATGAGTCAAATTAAACTTTAGTTTAATTGTTCACTCTCCTTCTTTTTTTATACTAGAGTTATGTAGTTTTCGGTACAGTCACGCCATTTTCCTCAGATCCATTGTGACACTGCCTTTCCACCCAACCATCGTCTGCAAAATAGAAACTTAATGTATGATTTGAGGTTTACACAGCGGTGATTATGAAGATTTCCGTCTTCTGGGTTGTTGCTTCGTGTAGTCTGGTCGATGATTAGCAACGTTTCAGAGGTCATACTGCTTCCGTCATCCCAGAAGACAGAAATCTAGAAACTTAATGCTGCTAATGTAAAGTTGTTCCTGTGCCCAAACATGAAGCCATGAAGGGAACGGAGGCTAAACTCCACATATTCTTAACAATGCCACTGATGGAAGTCAGTGGTTAGCTTCACACTCCGGCCGCTTTCCTCCTCCGTTATTACTTACACAGGAGGATGGGTGAGCCAATTCAGAAATGGCAGACAAAAGAAAAAATACCCACACAGCCTGCCACTCTACTTATTAGCTATTCTCGCTAAACTATGTTCCTGAAACAGCGTCATTAAATAAACAGTTACTTTGTCCTTTGATGCGAACCATTTGACACCAAAGGCATATTAAAATAAGCCAAAAGTAGTGGGAGCAAAAGTGTAGATTTAAGAAAACAAACAAGGAACAGCATGCGTTAGAGGTGAGTCATAAGAATGTGATTTTAAACAAATCAATAAACAAGGTCACTTGCTTACCGGAAGTAACCTACATGCTGAGAATTAGGGCGCTCCAGATATTTGTAGCTGGGAGGTACAACAGAGACACGCACTGCTTCGAGATCAGGTTCTTGTAAGCTGCTTGTGTTATCACATGGGCTACATTTTACCACTTGTTTCTGAAGCTTCTTCGTGTCGGGAATAACTGATGTAGCATCTGGTGCAGAGGTTTAGGACGATTTAAAGGCGATTTACAATTAATTTTGAGACTGGAGAAAATTTCATACCGGAATATACTGAAATCACGTAGAGTTATTTTATCTTTGCACTCTCCCTTTCTTGCTTGCTTCCCAGATTTATTTGTTTTCAATCTTAATTTCCCTCCAGTATTATTCATGTCTCGCTTTCCTTTCATTTTCATACCCTCTTTCTTACTTTAATCCGATTTCCTTTTGTATCTTTTGCGGCTATATCTTTACTTCTGTCTTCAACACTATTCTACGTCGTTATACTTTTATTT